CAGACGGATGGACTGCAGACAAAATGTAATCAGAAAAGGTTAATTATACTTCCTAAACTACCATGAAATAATTTTATCAAGTGAAGTGGAATCCTATACATGTATATATAAACAGAGAAAAACATTGGTTGTAAAGAAAAAAGAATCTCTCATGTTTTGCAATTGGTCTTGGATGCAATTTTTATCCTACTCGTTGTGTGTTTTTATTCCCTCGCCAGGGCTCGGGGATAAAAGACACACAACTCCTTAGATAAAAATCATCTCCAACTACAAATTATGGGAGATTCTATATTTATTACCTGGATATAAGACGGTCAACTGTTGAGGATTACAGCGCTTCTTTAACTTTGCTTGTTCTTTCTTCAGGTGACTGGTCAATGTCACAGGTGGGACAAACGAGTTAAACAGAAATCTAAGGGCATGTGTACCAAGCTGGGCTAACAGATAATAACGTAGAAAATTGTTTTCCTCGTCTGTGATTGTATTTGGAGTTGCTAGAAATATACAATCAAAAGGATAATGAAAAAAATCTTTTCCACAAAATATTCTTCTTAATTTTTTTTTTTTTTTTTTTGGGGGGGGGGGGGGGGTTTGGTTTTTTCTTTTGGATACTGGTAGATAGTTTTGAACAAACAGAGAGCACATAGGTATATAGCACATGGAATATTCGTTAATCAATTAATGAAAAAATATACTCTTAATCAGTGGCGGATTTAAGGGGGGGCGCACCCGGCGCGCGCCCCCCCCTAAAATTTTCAAAGTTAGCGTAAATCAAATATGTTTACTTGGTAGACCTAATTTTCACCCTTCAAAATCTCTAGAATCCAGGAGCTTCCGGGGGCTTCGCCCCCTGGGCCCCCACCAGGGCTTTGGTAAACCTCATTTTAACCCTTCAAAATCTTAAAATCCAGGAGCTTCCGGGGGCTTCGCCCCCTGGGCCCCCACCAGGGCTTTGCCCTGGACCCACTGGGGGCCTCAAGGCGGCCCCCAGACCCCTTGCCTAATTTTGGCGCCCCCCCTAACTCCAAAACCTGGATCCGCGCCTGCTAATGAAAATAAAAATGACTATTTATTATCTGGAATTACGAGTATTGTTTAAAAATCAGTAATTGCTTGCATTTTAATAAAAATTACATATGATTTTTTAGGAAAATCATGAAAGCTACATTTTATTTATTGAAACTTATTTCAAGAGTTGATAAAGTGTGATTGTTAAATTGTTCAAGTTATTTATACTAAAACTTAGAATAATTTTTGCCGAAAATAAATAAATATGAATAAACGATAAACCCTTCAGTATTTTTAAAGTGCATTTGCTTTTCTGTTGCATATTATTGGTATAATTTAATGATAAACTCATTAAATTTGTGCACTCCGTTTTTCTCTCACCAAGTACGTTATTGACAGGCACTGTTACTGCACAGTTTGATGTTATCGTCGACGAGGTTGATACTGTACTCAGTATATTACTGGTGGGGGTTACAAGACTTGAGACGGCAATACTCCCAATACTGGATGTTGTTACAACTTGACTTGACGAGGTGCTTGTTATTGAGAAACTTGGAACCTGATTGGATGAGCTGGAAGTCACTTGAGAAAATATTGCTGCTGAACATATTGGTGTTGCTACTGAGGAAGATGATAAGGTGCTTGATATTGCAGGGAATGCTGTTGGCAATGTTCCAATGATTGACGTTAATTTAGTTGTCGGTACTGTTGATGTTGAACCACATGTTGTTATTGCAGTATAAGTTGATGTTACTGTTGACGTTGTACCATTTGTTGTTATAGCCATGCTAGTTACTGGTACTGTTGATGTCCCATTTCTTATTATTGGTGTGTTAATTATCGGTAATGTTGATGCTGATCCATTTGTTGATGTTGCTATGTTACTTGTTGGTACTGTTGCTCCATGTGTTGTTTTAGGCATTTTAGTTGTTGTTACTGTTGACGTTGTACCATGTGTTATGGCTAAGTTAGTTGTTGGTAACGTTGTTGGTACAGTTATTGATGATCTATTATTATGTAAAGCTGATGTGGTAGTTGACACATTCAGGGTGTGACAAGATTGGGTAACTGTCGTCTGACATGAAGAGGCTGTCGTTATTACTGAAGCTGAAGGTTGTATACTGGAAGCTGTTGACGTCACTACAGGTAATTCTGAAGAAAAGGATAATGACAAAATTTTGGAAGGGACATCCTTTCTCATAACAATGTACTTCATCTGCTTAATATACGTGCAGAGGAAAAGACGACGAATTTTAATGAAAGAATGCAGTTTCAGTGTATGAAAATGGGAACTGTAAAATCTGCAGGACCCCTCTGGCAGGGATCATGATTTTTTTTAAATTTGGTTGTGGTCTAAGTGCTTATTTCAATCATTTCAGCAATTTTACTGCTTGAAGTTCAGGAGAAAAATTTTTTCTAAAAATAACAATTATTTTTATTGTTTAAACCACTCCTCAGAGGGGGCATTGTATTTCAATTTTTTTGTTTCCCATTACCTACAGATGTGAAATTGATTGGAAATTTGTTCATCAGTTTAAGAGAAAGGGCTGAAAATGCGAACGCACGAAGACAGAATAAATCAGAAAACAGAAGGTCACCTGAATGACTTGGTTCAATTTAAAAAGCATCAAGGTACCTTTTGGGATTTTTGCTTTCATTTTCTTGGTAATGTTGCATTGATGTCCATAACTGGTTTGATGGTGACTCTTCCGTTTTCGTCCTGGACATGTAGTATTAAATGGATGAAGTTTACATAAGGTCTTCTTCTGTTTCTTCTCTAAAAGTTGAAGTTAATATACATGTATATAATTAATTAAAAGAGGGCAGAAAAATAACTTTTTGTTAAATTGTATCAACTGACAAAGATTGATGATAATAAAAGTTACCCCTCTTCTCTCTGTATTCTTTTATTGCCTTTAATATCTTGTGTCTTTGACCAAATGTACTGACTCCAAGCTCACGAAGATCTGCGTGATTTAGCTCCACAAAAATCTCCATGGTAACCCTTTCTTTGACAAACAAAGATATCAAAGTTCCTTCCCCTATTTTTCTCAAAAGTTTACAAACATCCTGGTCAAAATCAGAATCATCTATCTTTTCCTTTCTGTCATCTTGGGTTTCTTTGCTCTGAATGGCGTCTCTCTTTTCACCTTGACCTTTCTCAGGTCGGGATACGAGCTCTTCTTTGTTGGCTTTTTTTAGTACCTCGTCTTTGGTATTTAATTCTTGTCTGGAATCTTTTCTGTCCATTGTATTACTGACATAAAGTAAATATAACTTAGCATTGAATAGACTGCAATCCAGAATATATAAACAATATCATATCAAAATGAATAGACAAAAATTTGAAAAATACAGTTATTAAGTCAATTTTTTTCCATTTCAGGATTCTAAAAATTAAAATTGTTTTACTAGTTTTGATAATTTTTGTTCATATATGATCCCTAGAATGCAAAATGTTTCTCAGGCATTACGCATCGCTGTGGAAGTTATTACCATTGTCCATTGAAAATACTTGTGAATGAAGTATATGTGTTGATGCTTATCTTTTAAAATGTATTTTAAAGAAAATGGATACTACACGTTTATTCAAAATTTTTATTTTCAAAATTTTATCAATGTCCTAGTCAAACTTTTTTGTTATTCTTTTCTTCAAAAGAGCACACTGGGTATGACATATAAAGCAAGAGGCCTTGATGGTCATAAAGATACATTGCAACACTTTCAGGATACATAGAAATATTTAAAAAAAACTGAAAGTTGAAGACAGGCTGTCTAAAACATAGGAAAATAAGATGATCTGAGATTAGATAAGTAGTTAATTTAGTAAATAGTTCAAAATAATAAAGTATATATATTAACTTGCCTCTTGATTTTAAATTGACCTTCTAGCATCACATCGGCGGCAAAAATATAATAGATTAAGGATATAATAAGAAGAAACACAAAAATTTTCACAAAAAGGAACCCATAGTAAAAATTCAAATTAAAACAAAAATGCATGCTACCTTATTTAATTTTCATTGTGACCCAACGAAGCAAATAAATTCGTGAATATAAGACACGGTATTATGATCATCGAATTGCTGAATCAAATACACGTCCCAAAAGTATCAAAAATGCCTTATTTGGATTGCCTAAATGCTGATAAAAATAAACATGCAACATGCTGATATAATGAATCTGAGTTATGTCATATAATAATGCTGATGTTCTATCAAAATATTAATATACGTGAAGTGTCAAAAATGTTTCATTTGCAACTGTAATAATTGTTTTCAAAACAATATTTACTTGGGCCTTTTTCTTAAAAACTTATATAATGTATTATTTATTTTAAACACTATTATTCATATCCAGAAACTCAACCCGATTTACTTCCATGTCTTATGCACACCCATCCTGGGGAGTAGTTCATGCAAACAATTTTTTATAAAAACATAATATAATGAATATCTAATGAGAAATGAAAAATCAATTAAACCTAATAACAACCATTAAGACAAATTATAAAGCAAATTTTAAAAACTTTAATTCATGACTTTTCTGTTTGTTATCAAAAATTATTACATCGGGGAAAAGAATTAATAACGTCTTCATTTCCCATGTGTACATTCTAACACAACCACAAATAGATCGACCGCTCCTGCCGATAATGATATATATGAACTATCTTTGTTGATTAGCAAAGTGGAATAATCTATCTCAGTAGAGTACTATAAAATCAAGATGCTGCTGGGCACCAGAACACCAGTGGTTCAAAATTTTAAATTCCTGTTAAAAAGTATCCATGCTTATTTGAACTTTAATCAGGGTAGTTTAAAATCTGGGGAAAACTCACATTTCTAAAGACGATGGCAAGTACTGGTAAATACCGGGAATGGCAGGTATAATTCACTGGGAAATACTGGGCCAGGAAATATTGGATAACTGTTCGTAAACTTCATCATTTACATGATTCCAGATAGTTTTTTGTAACTTTAGACGGATGAATGATATGGAGATAAAGAACAGTATTCAAGCTCAAAAGTCCATAACACTGGAAAAAAAATATGAGCAGAGCAAACATCGACCTCCGAAACATAAGAGGTGTGATCAGCTGCGGTGGAGGAGTGAGCATTTCCTAAAAACCGGTCACACACGTCGTGTGCTCCTTGTCATGATCGGGAAATAACGCAAAAAATCGTCGTCAATTCAATGTACTTTTCAATATAATGGACTAACAGTTAGTATGAAAAACATCAGTATAAGCATTTGACTCAATGATAAATTGTATTTGCTGACAAAGTCATTGCATCGACCATAGAACTCACGAAATGATGACTTTAAACGAGGCTGTTGATATTCTTGTTTCATCAACTTGTTTGTCAATAATTTATCTCCTTTTAGAAATTGTTCTTACGTAGAGCATGCTATTGCGTATCGAATCAACTGAGATATATATACTCCGTATGCAGGTGATGAAGGTATATTGTTGCATCAGTTAGGAAAGTTGACGATATAGAAAAGTTAAAGTCATCACATGTACTAGTATCATATAGCTTGGCTGTTAGATAACCATTAACGTCTTTTTCAAGTAAAATATCCAAGTATGAAACAAATGTGTCAGACTCTGTGGTATCTTTTATCTCAAGTTCACCAGGATATATCGTATCGACGTAGGAATGGAAATGAATATTAATTGACAATACGTCGTCGATTTATCTAAATCAACTGATATATATAAAAGGATCTAAAAAAAATTATTAAATGTAGGATATTGTGTTCATAACAAACCTAAACCCCCATCTTTTATTTATAAACTTATTGATATCAAATAATTTTTGAAAAAATGAATTGAAAGACTTCAGTTTAAAAAAAAAGGGTGGGATGTAAATTACTACAAAATGCTATGGGTAGGGGACCTGGAGTAGTGAAACACTGTGAATAAGAATATTATTTATCTTCTGTTTTCACATTAATCTTATTTCTGAATTTTGTATTCAGATTAATGATTTAAGGAAATGAGAACTCTAACCTTATACTTCCTTGCATTTCTGAATTCCCAAATTTTTCCCAGCAAAGATTGCAAAGATACTGCAGATTTTGCAGTATTTTGCGGGAAGTGCAATACCAGGATTTACCACTGGTATTTCCCAGACACCCCTGATTGAAATTGTACTCTGATTGCCTCCTTTATGAACAGAAGCAGCAAAACTTTTAAAGAATAAAAAAGGTGACAAGGCAAAAAAAAAAACCCTTAGAACCCCTGACCCAAGAACATTGAATTTAACAATTATGGTAGAAGTAATCTTGATCATCAAAACTATGCTGCAACCTGTTAAATACGCAGGAGAAGAGGAGATTTTTCAAAGAAATTATACATTTTCTTAATTGACCCACAACTACACAAGAAAAACCATTATCCAGGGGTTATGAATCTCATAATGTGAAAGAGACCATATTCTTTTAGAGTTTTCAAAGAAATTATTTTCTTAATTGACCCCGAACACATACACAACAAACAATTATTCAGGGGTTATGAATCTCATAGTGTTGAAAGAGACCATATTCTTTATTGTATTCAAACATTTTTTTTCTGCCTAATACATTGAGAAGAATTTCAAAGAAACATAAAAAAAAGAAAGCATTTTTACTGCTAAAATAATACTACCACAGAGATCAATCCTAAGATATCTGATACATAAGTCCATGGCCAACTGAATAGTGACATTCACAGTTTCTGACTAGGTATACCTTTGCTCTTCATTACAATAAATTTAGTCTGTTTTTGCAAAATACTCCAGAATAGAGAATTAGCTTTTCAAAGAATGTATGTATTTTCAATTTTAATTCAACACAGCCCTGTCTCAAAGGTATGATTTTCATAATTTTTAAACAGACGCCATTGCTCATCAAAACCATGCAACTTGCCTGCTTTAGGAATGTATGCAATTTAAATATGATCAGTATTCTCTTTAGAGCATTGGACAGGCTTTTGCCACATCTAGTAGATGTCATTCTTATTTTGCATTTAAGTGCAAAAGATATTTATAAAAATCTTTGTTATATTTACACTGAAGAGATATCTACATGTACCTGAAATCGAAAGTGACTGTATGATATAAAAAATAATACCAGTCAATACTACTTTGTAATTTATAACAGCTAGTAATGGTTATTGTAGAAAAAAGTACTAATTTCTTACCAGGTAAGATATAAATTCATATAATGATGCTGAAACACTTTGACAAACACCAATTTCAATATGGCGACAATAGATATGATTTTGGAAATCACAAGGGCTAATTTTAGATACATTTAAATGTAAACATTGAATGCATGTGCACCCGAAATATTTCTAACGAGGATTGTCTTATCCTGAGGTTTTTAAATATTTCATAATGAGATGGGTGAACATGACGAGCGATAAGCCAACAGCACAACAAACATGAAGATGAAAAATTAAATCTCAATTTTATAAAATCTTTCCTTAATATTTCATCTAACATTAACGTATACTTTATGTAAAATCTCTTGCAACTTGCATAAAATCTCATGAAGGTTGAAGTTATTTGCCTCTAAAATATGATACACACGCGAAAGAGGACAAAACGAGCCATTTTTTCACACTATACAGTGTATTACTATTTTTCTTTATGAGTGGGTCTTCGCTCCATTTTTTTGAAAGTTAATCCTCAAAGTACGAATACAAATACACTGAACCAAACTTCTAAGTGTTCACCTAACATTTTTGAAATTTTAAGGAACAAATACAAACGATAAATAATTTCTTTAATTTTAGATTAATGATGCATATTTAAGTTCGATGTTGCTTAAATTTCATGTAAGTATCTCGTCAGAATTTTAAGCAAAGTGTCAAGGAAATGATGTACCCTCAAAATGAAAATTCACACAATAAAATCTCGATGGAGTAAGACCAACTACTCGCTCTAATTACTACTAAACAATCTTTATTGTACCCCTCAATAGAAGATTGGCAGAGTTGGATACACAAAAACCATCTGCTGCCATACCTACATGTACTGCATAAATCCTTTCCAAACCGTTGAAATTGTGAGGAAGGGGGGGGGGGGGGCTTTCACATTTCTTTTTAAATCCGAAATGTGTTCAATGGGATTCAGATCCGGAAATTTGACAGTACATCGTCACAAAATGCCTCTTGGTCAATATCCTTGGGTGTTTAGCACGTAAGTGCGCCACTTTTAGGATAATTCAGACTGTTTGAGCTGACATAAGACTACTACGAGCACCGATTTCTTTTCATTTTCGTGCGATTGAAATGGTTTGTTTCCATGTTTCTAAGATTTTTTCAGGACACTTTAATACTCTTTTAACCTGTTGTGACGCGAAATTTTCTCCTCAGAACGGGATCAAGGTCACTTCCGGTTTGATTAAATGTCAAAAACTTTCAGATTGTGATAGGTTGGTGATGAAAAATGAGCCTAACCTATAGAAAACTGTTTTTAAGTGGGTTTTGATACTGTTTGATAAATTTTTAAAGTTACATAAAGTATAATTAAGCACTAAATTAAAAGTGAGTAAAACGTGGTGCAAAGATGGTCCAGATATCAACATTCCACCGTCTCTCCCTTTTATCGCAATGGTCATTTTGCAATTGTTTTGTGTTTTTTAGTGAAAGCAGTTTTAAAAATTTGATAATGATCACAAAAAGATACTTATTACACAAAACACGTGCCGCAAAGTACAGATTTATTGTTTTTAGCTTCGTCACGGAACATTGGTTTTCATCTGTGATATTGAATTTTCTTTCTAAAATTTTTGAGAAGACTCATTTTTTGTAATAATTTGAAAATATCATACCATTCTATTAAGTAGTTTTTGAATAAATGCATTTATTAAAGTGAACACTTAGAAGTTTTGTTAAGTGTATATATCTTGGTTTCCAAAATTATGGAGCAATGACCCACTATACCTTAAAAATATAATTTTATGACATAACTTTCCTATCTTTTCGAGAAAAACTTAAGTACACCAAGTCAGTCAATGGTCATATAAAAAACATGATCAGAACTTGTGTAGCGTAGTAGTGATTAGCGTGCTAGTCTCAGTAGAAAATGCCACTCAGGATTTTCATTGCAAGGGTTCGAACCTAGTGGATACCTCATTTTTTTTTATAAAAGAATAAATTTTAACGAAAAAAAAAATGATACATCCAGGGAAATGTAAATTACTACAAAATGCCACGGGTAGGGGACCTGGAGTAGTGAAGCACTCTGAATAAGAATATTATTTATCTTCTGTTTTCATATTAATCTTATTTTTGAATTTTGTATTCAGATTAATGATTTAAGAAAATAAGAACTCTAACTTTATATTTCCCTGCATTTCTGAATTCCCAATATTTCCCAGTAAAGAGAAAATCTGCAGTATTTCGCAGGAAGGGCAATACCGGGATTTACCACTGTTTTTTCCCGGCCAACCCTGACTAAAACTGTACTCTGTTTGCCTCCTTTATGAACAGAAGCAGTAAAACTTTTAAAGAATTAAAAAAGTGACAAGGCAAAAAAAAAAAAAAAAAAAGGAAAAAAAAAGACCCCTGACCCAAGGACATTGAATTTTATAATTATAGTAGAAGTAATCTTGGTCATCAAATTATGCTGCAACCTGTAAAATATGCAGGAGCAGAGGAGATTTTTCAAAGAAATTGTATTTTCCTGTCCCCCAACACACGCACATACACAACAAAAACCAATATCCAGGGGGTTATGAATCTCATAATGTTGAAAGAGACCATATTCTTTATTATATGCAAACATTTTTTTCTGCTTAATGCATAGAAAAGAATTTCAAAGAAACATAGAAAAAGAAAGGATTTTTTCTGATAAAATAATACTACCACAGAGCTTTGCCAATCCTAACATGCCTGATACAACTGAATAGTGGAATTCACAGTATCTGACTACGTACCTTTGCTCTTCATTACCATACACTTGGTCTGTTTTTGCAAAATACTCCAGAATAGAGAATAAGCTTTTCAAAGAATAAATGTATGCATTTTCAATATATAATTCAATACAGCCCTGTCTCAAAGGTATGATTTTCATAATTTTTAAACAGACGCCATTGCTCATCAAAACCATGCAACTTGCCTGCTTTAGGAATGTATGCAATTTAAATATGATCAGTATTCTCTTTAGAGTAGTGGACAGGCTTTTGCCAAATCAAGTAGATGTCATTCTTATTTTGCATTTAAGTGCAAAAGATATTTAAAAAAATCTTTGTTATATTTACACTGAAGAGATATCTACATGTACCTGAAATCGAAAGTGACTGTATGATATAAAAAATAATACCAGTCAATATTACTTTGTAATTTATAACAGCTAGGAATAGTTATTGTAGAAAAAAGTACTCATTTCTTACCAGGTAAGATATGAATTCATATAATGATGCTGAAACACTTTGACAAACACCAATTTCAATATGGCGACAATAGATATGATTTTGGAAATCACAAGGGCTAATTTTAGATACATTTAAATGTAAACATTGAATGCATGTGCACCCGAAATATTTCTAACGAGGATTGTCTTATCCTGAGGTTTTTAAATATTTCATAATGAGATGGGTGAACATGACGAGCGATAAGCCAACAGCACAACAAACATGAAGATGAAAAATTAAATCTCAATTTTATAAAATCTTTCCTTAATATTTCATCTAACATTAACGTATACTTTATGTAAAATCTCTTGCAACTTGCATAAAATCTCATGAAGGTTGAAGTTATTTGCCTCTAAAATATGATACACACGCGAAAGAGGACAAAACGAGCCATTTTTTCACACTATACAGTGTATTACTATTTTTCTTTATGAGTGGGTCTTCGCTCCATTTTTTTGAAAGTTAATCCTCAAAGTACGAATACAAATACACTGAACCAAACTTCTAAGTGTTCACCTAACATTTTTGAAATTTTAAGGAACAAATACAAACGATAAATAATTTCTTTAATTTTAGATTAATGATGCATATTTAAGTTCGATGCTGCTTAAATTTCATGTAAGTATCTCGTCAGAATTTTAAGCAAAGTGTCAAGGAAATGATGTACCCTCAAAATGAAAATTCACACAATAAAATCTCGATGGAGTAAGACCAACTACTCGCTCTAAACACTACTAAACAATCTTTATTGTACCCCTCAATAGGAGATTGGCCCATCTGCTGCCATACCTACATGTACTGCATTAATCTTTCCAAACCATTGAAATTGTGAGGAAAGGGGGGGGGGCTTTCACATTTCTTTTTAAATCCAAAATGTGTTCAATGGGATTCAGATCCGGAAATTTGACAGTACATCGTCACAAAATGCCTCTTGGTCAATATCCTTGGGTGTTTAGCACGTAAGTGCGCCACTTTTAGGATAATTCAGACTGTTTGAGCTGACATAAGACTACTACGAGCACCGATTTCTTTTCATTTTCGTGCGATTGAAATGGTTTGTTTCCATGTTTCTAAGATTTTTTCAGGACACTTTAATACTCTTTTAACCTGTTGTGACGCGAAATTTTCTCCTCAGAACGGGATCAAGGTCACTTCCGGTTTGATTAAATGTCAAAAACTTTCAGATTGTGATAGGTTGGTGATGAAAAATGAGCCTAACCTATAGAAAACTGTTTTTAAGTGGGTTTTGATACTGTTTGATAAATTTTTTAAAGTTACATAAAGTATAATTAAGCACTAAATTAAAAGTGAGTAAAACGTGGTGCAAAGATGGTCCAGATATCAACATTCCACCGTCTCTCCCTTTTATCGCAATGGTCATTTTGCAATTGTTTTGTGTTTTTTAGTGAAAGCAGTTTTAAAAATTTGATAATGATCACAAAAAGATACTCATTACACAAAACACGTGCCGCAAAGTACAGATTTATTGTTTTTAGCTTCGTCACGGAACATTGGTTTTCATCTGTGATATTGAATTTTCTTTCTAAAATTTTTGAGAAGACTCATTTTTTGTAATAATTTGAAAATATCATACCATTCTATTAAGTAGTTTTTGAATAAATGCATTTATTAAAGTGAACACTTAGAAGTTTTGTTAAGTGTATATATATCTTGGTTTCCAAAATTATGGAGCAATGACCCACTATACCTTAAAAATATAATTTTATGACATAACTTTCCTATCTTTTCGAGAAAAACTTAAGTACACCAAGTCAGTCAATGGCATATAAAAAACATGATCAGAACTTGTGTAGCGTAGTAGTGATTAGCGT